AGAACTTGAAATCACATCAATACCTTTTTGAACCACAATGCAAACAAAACTAGAAACCAATAACAAAAAATTTTCAAACTATACAAACACGTGAAAATTAAACAACATGCTTATGAAATAGATTAATGAATAAATTGAGAAATCTTAAAATGTCTTACAACAGATGAACATCTATGGGATACAGCAAAAGCAATTAAAAGGGAAGTTTATTGCAAACACTATTTGCATAAATCAATCAGAGGGAGCCAATAACTTAACATTGCAACTCACAAAAAACAAAAACTTCTAAACCCAATAAATAAATAGTAGGAAATAAATGACAAAAATCAGACAAGAAATAAATGAAATATACACTAAAAAACAATACAAAATATCAACAAAATGAAGAATTGGTTTTTTGGAAACAAAATCAATAACCCCTTGATAAACCAACCAAGTGAAAAAGAGACAAGACAAAAGTGGAGGAAGAAAAAAAAAAGACACTACAACTGATGCCATGGAAATATAAAGAACAATTTAGAGACTGTTATGAACAATTATATGCCAACAAATGTGATAATCTAGAAAAATGGATAAATTCAACTTCCCAAGATTGAATCATGAATAAATAGAAAACCTAAACAGACCACAGAGGAATGATATTGAATCAGGAACAAAAAAAAAAAAAAAAAAAAAAGAAAGAAAAAAAACAAAAAACAAACAAACAAACAAACAAACAAAACTCTATCTTGGCCAGTATTGTGGTACAGTGGCATCTCATATGAGTACCGGTTTGAGTCCAGCTGCTCCACTTCTGATCCAGTTCCCTGTTAATGGGCCTAGGAAAGCAGAGGAAGTGGCCCAAGTCTTTGGACCCCAACACCTATGTGGGAGACCCAGATGGAATTCCTGGCTCCTGGCTTTGGCCTGTCCCAGCCCTGGCCATTGTAGCCTTTTGGAGAGTGAACCAGTGGATGGAAGATCTCTTGCTCTCATGTATGCTCTCTCTCTCTCTCTCTCTCTCTTCCTCTCTCTTTAACTGTCTTTCAAATAAATAAAAGGTCTTTGGGAAAAACTCTGTCAAAGAAAATTCTATAACCAGATTACATCACTATTGAATTTTTTTAAAGATTTATTTATTTGAAAGTCAGGGTTACAGAGAGAGAGAGTAGGACAGGCAGAGAGAGAGAGAGAGGTCTTCCATCCACTGGTTCACTCCCCAACTGGCCACAGCTGCCTGAGCTGCGCCTATCCAAAGCCAGGAGCCAAGAGCTTCTTCTGGTCTCCCACTCGGGTGTAAGGGCCCAAGGACTTGGGCCATCTTCCACTGCTTTTCCAGGCCATAGTAGAGAGCTGGATAGGAAGTAACCGGGACTCAAACTGGTGCCCATATGGGATGTTGGCACTGCAGGTGGTGGCTTTACCTGCTATGCCACAGTGTCGGCCCCCATCACTATTGAATTCTATGAAACATTTAAAAAACTAATACCAATTTTTTTAAGGCCAGGCATTTGGCCCAGTGTTTAAGCCACTCTGTGTTGGAATGAGAAGGCCATGCCAAGATGGCCGCTGGCAAGTGAGGGTCAGTTACTCAGGAATGGCTTTGAAACCCACCTGGCAACGGAGCCTGCTTGGAAACAGGCTGTGATTAGATGGCTTTGAAACCCACCTGGCAACGGAGCTTGCCTGGCAACAGGCTGTGATTGGATGGCTTCAGATATTGCCTGCCAACAGGCTGTGATTGGTTAGGGCATAGACCGCCCCTTGACCAGATTGGCTGCCTTGGTTATATAAGCTGTTGTACCAACTGAAATAAATGAGTCTGCGGGCTGCTCGCCTCTGGCCTGCTTTTACTCGACTCCCGGGGTCTGTGTGGTGACTCCGCGCCTCTTGCCCCCACCACGCTCCTCCTCTCAGAACGAATCCATGCAACACACCACCCCACATCCCATATCAGAATATCTGGGTTCCAGTCCTGATTCCAGATTCCTGCTATATATACCCTGGAGGCAGCAAGTGTAGTTCAGGTAGTTTGGTCCTCGCTACCATGTAGGTTATATAGAGTTCCCAGCTCCTGGTTTTGTCCTGGCTCTGCCACACTGTTGTGGGCATTTGTGGATAGTGAATTATATAGGAAGGAAATTAACAATCTTATTTCCAATAGGTACACACACACACACACACATACAACCATGAATAAATTTAACCAAGAAGGTAAAATATCTCTATGATGGAAACTATAAAATACTGATGAAAGAAACTGAAGAGAAGGCTGGCGCCGTGGCTCAATAGGCTAATCCTCCACCTTGCGGCACTGGCACACCGGGTTCTAGTCCTGGTCGGGGTGCCAGATTCTGTTCCAGTTGCCCCTCTTCCAGGCCAGCTCTCTGCTGTGGCCTGGGAGGGCAGTGAAGGATGGCCCAGGTCCTTGGGCCCTGCACCCCATGGGAGACCAGGAGAAGCACCTGGCTCCTGGCTTCAGATCGGTGTGGCGCCAGCTGCAGCGGCCACTGGAGGGTGAACCAACGGCAAAAAGGAAGACCTTTCTCTCTCTCTCTCTCTCTCTCACTCTCCACTCTGCCTGTTAAAAAAAAAGAAAAAAAGAAAAAAAGAAACTGAAGAGAACACCAAAAACCAGAACCTCATCCCATATTCATGGATGGCAACAGTCAATATTGTTAAAATATCCAAACTATCCAAAGTGATCTACATATCCAATGCAATCTCTTTTTTTTTTTTAAAGAGATATTTATTTATATGAAAGTCAGAGTTACACAGAGAGGAGGAGAGACAGAGAGGGAGAGGTCTTCACTCCCCTATCAGCCACAATGGACAGACCTGCGCAGATCCAAAGCCTGGACTTCAGAGAGCTGGATTGGAAGTGGAGCAGCCAGGTCTTGAACCAGCACCCAAATGGGATGCTGGCACTACAGGCAGCAGCCTTACCCACTACACCACAGCGCCAGCCTCAATCTCCTTTAAAATACCAATGACATTCTTCATAGAACTAGAAAAAAGTCATAAATTTACTAAAATTTGTATGAAACCATAAAAGACCCAGATACTCAAAGCAATACTGAGCAAAGAGACAAAGCAGGAGGCATTACACTACATGACTTCAAAATACCAATACACAAAGGTTACAGGAATAGAAACCAGCATGATACTGTCATACAACTGGCTGTATAGACCAGTGAAACAGAATAGAGAGCCTAGGAGTAATCTATGCATCTATAGCAAACTGATCTTCAGCAAAGGCATTGAGAACACAGACCCTTCAATAAATGGTACTGGGAAAACTGGATATCCAAATGCAAACTGAAGAGAAACCCCTAACTCTCTCCTATACAAAACTAAAAGAGGATTAAAGACTTATATATAAGACCTGAAATTATGAAACCACCAGAAGAAAACATAGGGGACTTTCAAACAGTCAAAGAAAAAAAAAAGCAAACACAGACAAAGAAGGTTATATCAAACTTAAAAAGATTCTGCACAGCAAAGGGAACAATCGGCTTTTCTGCGGCTCTGCCTTTCAAATAAATCTTTTTTTTTAAAAAAAAAGACAAAAACACAAGGGTTGATAAGGATGTGGAGGAAAGAAAATGCTTATTCTCTGCTGATGGAATGTAAATTAGTACAGCCATTGCAGAAAACAGTATGGAGATTCCTCAAAATAATAAAAAGATAGAGCTACATATTGATATAGCAATCCTACTACTGGATATATATCCAAAGGAAATTAAATCATTATGTTAAGAAACATCCACATGCCTATGTTTACTGCATCATTATTTATAATAACCAAGAAATGGAAACAATCTATATGCCTCCAACAAATGATCAACATATATTGTGATATATACTTATATATACAATGGAATACCATTCAACCATAAAAGAGAATATTGTAATCTGTGAGAAAATGGATTGAAATGGAACTCATTATGTCAATGACATAAATCAGACACAAAAAATGAATATTAAATGATCTTATTCTTATGTGGCATTTTTTTAAAAAGTTGATCTCATAGAAGTTGAGAGTAGAATAGTGGTTACCAGAGCTGAGGGTGTAGGGAGGGAGGAAGTGATGGAGAAAGGTTATAGCTAGATAGGAGAAGTATGTTCTAGTGTTCTATTGTACAGAAGGTGATTATAGATGATGATAATTTGCTGTGCATTTAAAAAATAGAAAATAGGATTTCAAGCATTTTTACCATAAAGAAATTATTTTTGAAGATAGATATGTTTATGCTGATTTGAACACTATATAATGTATACATATATCAAAATATCACAGTATTTGGCAATTAAAAGTATATGTTTAAAAGGTGGGGCCTAGGGGCTGGTGCTGTGGCGCAGCGGGTTAACACCCTGGCCTGAAGTGCTGGCATCCCATATGGGTGCCGGTTCAAGACCAGGATGCTCCACTTCCAATCCAGCTCTCTGCTATGGCCTGGGAAATCAGTGGAGGATGGCCCAAGTGCTTGGGCCCCTGCACCTACATGGGAGACCCAGAAGAAGTTCCTGGCTCCTGGCTTCGGATTGGTGCAGCTCTGTCCATTGTGGCCAATTGGGGCGTAAACCATCTCTCTCTCTCTCTCTCTCTGCCTCTCCTCTCTCTGTGTAACTCTGATTTTCAAATAAATAATAAATAAATCTTAAAAAAAATAAAAATAAAAGGTGGGGCCTAGCTGGTTATTTGGGATTAAGGTGTTTCTCATGGGATGCTGAGTTTGTTCCCAAGAAAGGGTTTGTGATGAAATAGTGGGCCTGTCTCTGGCCTCCTGTATCACCATATGAGCACAGCCTCTCACACTACTGCTGCTATAATGCCATCTGCCACTTACACAGCCAAGTGTGCCCTCACCAGAATCAGCACCATGCTTTTTGGACCTGCAGCCTCTAAAATTACAAGCTAAATAAACCTTTTTTTCCTTTTTAATTACCCAGCCTCAAGTACTTTGTTACTTTAATAAAAGCCTAACATAGGTAACATTCATAGATCCCAGAGATTGTACCTGTTATCTCTGGAGGTGTCCCCACGGATTGCAGCCCATTACAATTAATAGGGAATTTCAAATCAGTTGGAGAGGGATGTATTATTCAACATCTCGTATTAAGACGATTTTCTATCCATCTGAAAAAGAATTTTTGATATTTAGTCAATGTAAGGATGGTTAAAAATTTAAATGTTAAAATCTTACTATGATATTATGTGAAAATACAGGTGAACATTTAATAAATCTTGAGTCAGAAATCGCTTTAACATAATACCAGGCATAGAAATCATGTAGGAAAAGACTTACTAAACATCACAAAAATTTAAACTTTTATATAACAAATGGATTGAAAACTAACTGGGTAACACAATACATGAAGAAAAAAAGGTTAATATTTTTAAAATTGGGAACTTTTTTTGACTCAGTAGTGAATACAAACTAAATTCACCAATTGAAAAATAAGAACCAAACCAAAATAGGTAATTTATAGAACTTCAAAAATTCAATAGATACACAAAAATGTGGCTTACACTCTTTCATAACTAAAGAAGTACAACTGAAAGAAAAATACATTCAGCCGTCAAATGAATAATGATTAAAACAGCTAAGAGCGGGTGGGTGCCTTGAAGTACCTTTTAAACAGTATTCCAACATGTTCTGGAGGGGAAAATTACAAAGAGAGAAAGGGAGAGACTTTCCAGAGTGGGCGGAGGGGCTGAGAAATGAAGTTAGTAAAAGACAAACCAGGGTCAGCCACACCAGACACGGCCACGTATGGTTGTGAGCCCATGAAATGTCCCAACTGAGATGTGCTATAAATGCATAACATAGTTTGAAGGCTTAGTATAAAGAAAATAAACTATTAAGCTGAAGATTTTTTTGTTAATTACATGTCAAAATGATATCTTTGATATGTTTGGTTAAATCAAATATATTAAAACTGTAGCTGCTGCTTTGATCATCTTACTAGTGACTGGAATTAGGTTTCACTTGGACAGCGCTGCTCTGGGTTTTATGGCTTGGTCAGTTTGTGCAGAATGTTTATGCTGTAGTCTGTAGTGCTCTTTGCCATCACTAGATGGCCACCTCATTTAATACATTATCATTATAAACCACTTTCTTAAGAAACATAGGTCAAATTTTAGAAAATTTTCCATTTACCTAACAATGTCAATTCTACATATTTAATTAACTTTATTGTCTGTAATTTTTGTTTATAAACATAAACATATAGAAACAGAAACTAATTTTCCCTGTTTTGATTTCACAGATATTTCTGCTTGTCATTAATAGATTAAAATAAACTAATCAAATTGGTTTTTTTTTTTTTTGAAGGGGGTGTGTGTTTGGCAGAGAGATTAAGTCATTGCTTGGGATGCCCACACCGCATACTGTAGTGCCTAATTTGAGTACAGGGTACTCTGCTTCCAGACCAGCTTCCTGCAAATGCCCACCCTGGGAGGCAATGTATGATGACTTAAGTACTTGGGTCCTGGGCAGCCATGTGTAGGAGACCCAGAAGGAGTTCCAAGTTCCTGACTTCTATTTGGACCAGCCCTGGCTATTGGGCACATTTTGGGGAATCAATCAGTGGATGGAATATCTTTCCACATCAGTGTCTTGGCTGTCTCTCTCTGCCTTTCAAATGAAATAGAAATAAATAAGGGCAGATGTTGTAGTGCAGAAGGGTAGGCCATCACCTGGGATACTTGCATCCCATATCAGAGTTCTGCTGGTTTGAGTCCTGGTTCCTCTGCTTCCTTTTAGAGCACCTAGGAAGGCAGCATATGAGGGCCTGAGTACTTGGGGTCCTGCCACCCACATGGGAGAACCAGATGGAACTCGCCCTGGTCTAGCCCTGGCTGCTGCAGGCATTTGGGGAGCAAACCACTGGATGCAAGATCTCTCTCTTTTTCAAATTAATAAACTTACAAAAATGAAAATAAAAATATTTTTAAATGGTTAAGAACATCAAGGAAAGACAAATGAATAACCACAAGAGTACTTCAAAGAGTTCATGGAAAATGTATGTTTTGAAGAAACTATTGAGTGGATGTCAATTTTTTTGTGCCAAAATGAACATCTTTTAATTCCATTTTCCACGAACATTTTTAAATCTTTATTTTAAAAAATCAACTTATTTGAAAGATGGGGTGGGGGGGGAGAGGGAGAGGGCGAGAGAGGGAGGGAGGGAGGGAGGGAAGGAGAGAGAGAGAAACAGAAATCTCCATTAGTTCACTCCTCAAATGCCAGCAGCAGCTGTGAATGAGCCAGGCTGCAGCAAGGAGCCCAGAATCTAACCGGGTCTCTCAAGTGGGTAACAGAGACCTAAGACCTGAGGCATCACCTACTGTCTCAGTGTGTGTTAGCAGGAAGCTTGGATAGGGAGCTAAGCCAGGATCTGAATCCTGGCACTTTGATATGGGCCATGGGCCATGGGCATCCTAACCAATGTCTTAACTGTTATACCAAAAGCCCACTCAAACTTTTTAAAGTACCCTCCTATATTGCATAACTCCTTTCCCTGATCAAGCTAGGACCAAAATTAGAGGAGATTCCAAGAACAAAACTTCCACTTTTCATACCACTGATGCCAATGAATAAAGGCTAGATAAAATGAAATTTGCCTCAAATATAAAGAATACATCCACATTTGATATGTACCTCTCTAATTTCAAGCTGATTCCATTTTGGCAAACTGAAGGAACCCTAAAAAATCATACCAATGATTAATCACTAACTTGAAAAGATAAGTTCTTGAAGCTATGGCAATCAGAGTTATGGAAGAAGCAGACTGCTATCTACTTGGGGGCTATCTCCCTATCACTGGTTGGCAAAGACATTTATTGAAAAAGAAATCATGATGTTTAAGGAAGGCAAGCATGATGTTTAAGGTTGGGAAGGCTTCTTTTCAATTCTTGTGGCTTCCATGAGGAGGAATTCTTACATGAATATTCCCATCTCTTACTTCTTTCTCCCTTAAATGAAAAATCTGGTGAGTTTACTATTGATCAACATTTCTCTACTGGGTAGAAATGCCACGTTGCTTCAGAGGATACAGCTAATTTATGCACAGTCTTTAAGTTGGGGATTTTATTTTTTAATTCCTTTTTTAAACTGGTGATATCAGGGCAGGTGTTGGGGGCAGTGGGTTAAGCCACTGCTTGAGATACTTGCATTCCATATTGGAATGTTCGGGATGGAACTGCTTCAGATCCAGTTTCCTGCTAGTGTACACCCTGGGAGACAGTAGATGATGGCCCAAGTGCTTGGGTCCCTGCCATTCAGGTGTAAAACCTGGATTGAGTTCCTGGTTCTCAGGAACAACCTGGCCCAGCCGTGGCTGTTGTGGGCATTTGGGGAATGAAGCCATTAAATGGAAGACCTTTCTCTCTGCCTTCCAAATAAATAAGTTAAAAGGGTTTTAAAAATTCATGCAGTATGGAAAAGCAGGACTAAGAAAGAAGTTTAGAGCAATGAGTGCCTTCATCCCCCCCCACCAAAAAAGTGTAAGATTTCAAATAACCAGCCTAATAAAGTAAGTATTTCAAGGAAAGCCCCAACAAACTCCGCTCAAAATTAGTAGAAGGAAAGCAATAATAAGGATCAGAGCAGAAAGCAACAACAACAAAGACTAGGAAAACGATTCAAAACAGCAATAAAATGAAAGATTGGTATTTCAGTAACAAAGTCAACAAATTTTTATCTAGACTAATGATGAGAAAAAAGGAAGTGAAAACGGAGATATTACAACTGATAACTCAGAGATAACAAAGGATCTTTCTGATGCCTCAGAGATACAAAGGATCTTTCAGGACTACTATGAACAATTATCCACCAACAAATTGGAAAACCCATAAAAAATGGAAACATTTCTGAACACATACAAACCCACCAAAATTGAACCAAAGACACAGAAAACCTTAGTAGAACAATAACAAATTAATGAAACTGAATCGGTAATAAAAGGCTTTCCGACAAAGAAAATCCCAGTACCAGATGACTTCACAGCCGAATTCTATCAAATTTTTAAGGAAGAATGAACACTTTTTTTTTCTGAAACTATTCCAAAAAACTGAAAGCGTGTCAGCCTTTCCAAACTCATTTTACAAGGCTTGCTTTACTCTGATGCCAAAACCTGACAAGGACACAACAACCAAAAAGCTATAGACCAATTTCCTTGATGAATAAAAATATTCTCAACAAATTACTAGTAAATTGGGGCCAGTGTTGTGGTATAGCAGGTTAAGCCTCTGCCTGAGCTACCAGCATCCCATATGGGCACCTGTTTGGGACTCAGCTGCTCCACTTCTGATCCAGCTCCCTGCTAACATGCCTGGGAAAGGAGTGGAAAATGGTCCAAGTGCTTGGGTCCCTGAATCCACATGGGAGACTTAGAAGAAGTTCTGGGCTCCTGGCTTCAACTCGCAGCCTGGTCATCGCAGCCATTTGGGTGATAAACCAGTGGATGGAAACACACACACATGCACTCACACTCACTCTCTCTCACTCTCTCTGTGTGTATGTGTGAGTGTGTGTCCTCCTCTCTCTGTTACTCCGCCTTTTAGATAAATAAAAATAAATATTTTGAAAAATTACTAGTAAATCAAATTCAACAGTGCAGCAAAAAGATCATCCATCATGATCAAGTGAGATTTATCTGAGTTGCAAGGACAGTTAAAACACAGATCCATCAATGTGATACATCCCATTAAAAGGATGAAGTGTTAAAAATTATATGATCCTCTCAACAGATGTAGAAAGAACATTCAATAAAATTCAGCATTCATTCATGATAAAATCTTAAACAAATTAGGTGTAGAGGGTTCGTACCTCAACATCATAAAGGCTATATATGATAAGTCTACATGGGACATAACAATGACAGCATTTCCTCCTAGATCTGCAACTAGACAAAGATGTTCTCTCTCATCACTCTTATTCAACATTGTATTGGAAGTCTTAGCCAGAGAAATTAGGCAAGAGAAAGATATAACATGGACACAAGTGGGAAAGAAGAAAGTCAAATTATCCCTGGTCAAAGAATATATAATTCTAGGGGCCAGTGCTGTGGTGTAGTAGGTAAGGCCACCGTTTGCAGTGCGGGCATCCCATATGCGCACTGGTTCAGGTCCCG